GAGTTTTATTACGAACAAGACTAATTTATGTCGTTCGTCTTACCAGTTGAATGTTAAGAGGCATAAACAGTATTAGACAAAAAGAGCTTATTGGCTACCCAGTGGATTCTGACACTTAGATTCTTGACTTTTAAGTAAGACGCACGGAAAGCAGCCTTGCAGTGGAATTTATTTTTCCACGTTTTATACACCACTCCAGAATTTACAAGAAAAGCCCTAAATTAATTTCTTCTGATTTCTGTAGCTCTGAGCTGACAACGAAAATGGAGGGCTTTTCTTGTAAATTCTACAGTATACAACAACCCTTTATAGAGATTTTAACTACCAATAGATATTCATTATTGATCAGTAATTCTTCTAAGTTATAGAATTGTTTCGAGGCACTCTACCATTCGCTGAAATGCTATCTAATTATTGTTTAAGGTCCTTGGATCCTTATTAAAGGACTTTATCGTTTGTTTTATATTGTCCTAAACCTTCAACTGCAACAAAAATGTCTTTGCAGTTGAAAAACCTTGAAGTGCAATTAAAACCATTTAAACCAAATCAATCTTTAGCTTGGTTCCATGTTGGTCATATTTAGACAGAAAAAATGGTTTTTGTAAAGTTTGTTTTGATAAAGAAAAAGAAGAAAATGGAGATTTTATCTTGATGAAAATCATTAACATTAATGTGTTGTAGATCACTATTGCCATTTTCAATTGTAGAAAACGAAGGATTTCAAGATTTTTTAGTGTCATCAAGAGTTGCATTATCACGTGCCGATATGCCAACACGCACAACACTTTGTCCGGACAATGTTAATAAAAATTTCAATGTTTATTGTGAGAAATTATTAAAACAGCTTAAATTGGCTTCGGCATATCCATTTATATTATACAGTATAACACCACACACACGTTGCAACAACATGTGGAATTGTGAAGACGGTCATGATGAGCTGTCAGATTGTTCAACGAATGCCAGCACCAAAATGAACACCAAATAATATCCTATATTCATTTAAGCGAACGTTAGCTGGTAATAAATAAAAATGATTGTTCAGGCTGACTTAATGACTGAGAGTATTGTCGCTTGACACATTCGTATGAAACTAACTTACGTTATCCCTGCTGGAATAGTTCGCCATGTATTAGCTCACTCGACTTACGTAATTACAAAAACGATTGGGACTAATTAAGATAGCATTTCAGCGAATGGTAGAGTGCCTCGAAACAATTCTATAACTTAGAAGAATTACTGATCAATAATGAATATCTATTGGTAGTTAAAATCTCTATAAAGGGTTGTTGTATACTGTAGAATTTACAAGAAAAGCCCTCCATTTTCGTTGTCAGCTCAGAGCTACAGAAATCAGAAGAAATTAATTTAGGGCTTTTCTTGCAGATTCTGTAACTTTGCAAATAAAGGTCATGTAGAGCTGGGAGATGTCTCATTTTGATCAGAATTTCACGGGCTACAATCCTAACTGATTAAGAAAAGTAGGCGCCAGTTCAACGTCACATCCGACAGAAAAGCTAATTTATCATGAACTCTAAATATTGCTCGGATACATAAGATGAATATTTGATTTTGCTATTTCAGCGATTTTGAAATAGCATGGATAATGTGCAAAAATCTGATGAAAAGAGTTGGATTCAATGAACTTGCAATTTGTGATACAGTAGCTACAACATCAGTAGCAGACTAGTAGCAGACTCATCTGAAATGTTGCAAAATTTCAGGAATTTTGTTGATTATACTACCATAAAAGCTAGAGAAAACGAAAAATATTGGAAGGATATTCGAGATGCATATGTTTCGACTGGAAATCATTATTACGACTTAAAATTACCCGAATTAGCTATTTCTTGTTATGAGCAGCAATAATCGTTATACGCAAGGGTAGTTCTTATGATTACTGTTCGATTTCTGTTTGTCAGAAAAAGTGTGCAGAAATACATGAATTTATCATGCATTTATCATGCATTGAATGAATCATGCATTTATCAGTCACTTGCCATAGGAGTTGTAAGATTATGATTTTACTCGTTTTTCTAACGTTAGAAGCATGATATCAAAGAAGCTCTTGTTTTCTTCTTTTTCTCTCTGTTTCTTCACAAAGATGTATTTTACTGAACGAACAATAAAACTTTTTGCTATGCACTATATTTCTTGATTACTATGTGTACTAGTACGCTATAATCAGTGTTATACTTTCGGAAGCGTACACTTTCTTGTAGTTTTGTTCATCGATATCTAGTGTCATTTCAGATAGAGATAAAACTATGTGTAACATGAGAGAACCATTTCCTTCTTCGGAAATGTACTTCTCGTATAATTACTGTCTCATCACGCTTTTCTATTAAATCATTGTTTATATTGCATCATGTTACGTTACCTTTCTCATTCTAAAACTTTATAAATAATGCACGCATCAATAGAGACACTTTACAACAGGAAAAACAAACAAAGTCATAAATCTTATAACTTCTCAGACAAGTGACTGATAAAGTTGAAACTTTTAGAATAGACATACATTAAACAGATTTACTCTGAAAAACATTTTCGGCTTACAAGCCCTTGTCGTTTTTGACTTATAAGAAAGAGAACCTATACTGTAATACCTTCTGAAAATAACAAAAGAATTCGTTGTGTCTACACCCAGATCGCCTGACCAAAAATATCTTTATGCTCTTTCATGAAATCATGAGCCTTACCTTTTAAATATCAGTCAAAACTGCATCGGACACTTGGCAAGCTTCCTCGTCTGAGGACATATCGAGAAGATATACATGGTGATTAATTGTTGCGATTATTCAGCATTATCTACGTGAGTTGAACTGAGAGTATATCACCGTTATGAACTGCGGATAAAGAGCAGTACTGGTGGTTGTGAGAAGAATATAATCTTGAAGTTGTACAGTATCTTTCCTACTCTCTAAAAAAAATAGGCATTTTAAAAAACCTAAAAAGGGTTCCGGAAACTGCAAATATACGGAACCCTTTAAAAGGTTTAGTAAAGGGTTTTTCGCCTGTATTAAACTCTTTTCAAATTTCAATTGCAAATGGGATATCTATTTTTTCGAGGATATTTTCTTCTATTTGAAATGATATTATGTTTAGTTATAATTTGGGCATTTATTGATTTGAAAAGGGTTTAGTACAGGTGGAGAATCCCTAACTAAACTTTTTAAAGGGTTCGGGAAACTGCAAATATACGGTATTTCACCAGTTTATTTGCTCTCTAAAAAAATGAGTAGTTTTCAAAATCTGAACGATTTTTTATTCATGCTTCTAAAACCAAAAGGGTATAGTATCGTTATTGAATCGTTTTGATTTATTAAAATACTTTTTGGAAAGGTATTCTAAGAAAATAAAGTTTTTTTTATTAATATCACAAAACCCTAAAGGTATTTTATTGATTATACATTAGGTACGTTATGTAGTTCTTGACCAAAATGGTTTAGGAGTTGAATTAAAAAACCTTTGGGATTTAGCAGCAATAATGAAAGACCCTCTTAGTTTTTTAAAGTAGTAAAGGGTTTATATGCCAACCCTTTGGGTTTAGTAACGAAATTAGAATACCTTTAGGGTTTTGTGACATTGATAAAAACCTTTATTTTCTTAAAACACTTTTCCAAAAAGTGTTTTAAAAAACCAAACCGATTTAGCAACGATACAACAGCCTGAAATGGTTTCTTGAATATGCTACTGTACTCTTTCGGGTTTAGAAACAACAATAAAAAACCGTTTGGATTTTTTAAACTGCCTATTTGTTTTAGAGAGTTTGTATGAGGTGTGAAGGTCTTTTTTTAATATAGGCTCAGTGGAGTTATTCAAATCTAGCACTTCAGACTTATTAGTCTCTCAAAATGAAAGATGAAATGTATTAAAAACTCGATAGAAATAAGTTGTACAAGATCACGTTTACGCAACTTTGCTTTCTACGAAAAAGTTTCACCTTCTATATTTCACAGAGTTTACGTTAACAAACTTGCGCGTAAAATTTATTGTATTTAAAACCAGTCGAATGGCTTTTTGAATAAACGTATTCAGTCACGGATCGGTAAGTCGAAGATGCATCTACTTGTTCTTATTGGCTATATTTGGCTACTCATATCGAACACACATTAGAAAAGCTCAGAATTCTAAAAGATTTTTGCTATGATATAAAACGCGCATCTTTTTCTAATGTGTTAGAATTAGTCGTTTCCTTGAATATTCTTCTATCACAATAAAGTTAGGCATGGATCGATGAATCAGAGAACACCAACTGAATATGTGTGAATTCTTGTCAATAAATAAATCGTTTCCTTTTCAATTCTCTCCATGTAAACCTTTTACGTTACGCCATTTGAACTTACGGCAATGAAATTGTCACATATTGTAATTGAGCATAATGAATTTATTAGAGCTAGTTCCGAGTATCTAAGAAATCTCTAGGAGGCCTCCAGAAAACTTTTACATTTTTGAAAGTTTTTTTAGTTGACCTTACTGAGAAATGATGAGTGAGCATAGTATCCAGTACCTGAGACCTTTAGAAGCTCTCGAAAAAATTTTCTAAGTATTGATCTAATAAAGCAGAGGTAAAACCAACGTCTATAAAAAGATCTTCTCTGTTAACATAGATGCGTGCACTTTTACTAAATCCTTGCTACGAGCATCGATCGAAAAGACGCGCAGATATCAACACGTCATATCGCTTGCAAAAAATATTGGTAGCTTGTCATGCTATGTCACTTGTTGTTCTGTCTGATTTCAGCCATCGTTCAAAACGTTGTCTCTGATGCCATTTAAAATTTTGATTTCCAGTATATCATGCATGTTTATGCTATGTTAACCTACGTAATCATGTGTCGAATACAAAAACACAGAAAAACTGTGCTATGAATGAACAAAAACTATCTATGTTGAAAAACAAATGATACATGTAGCATAAACAAAACAAGTTCTCGTACAAATACAATTATGCACATCAAATAATGTTCTTTTTTCACCAGTAAATTGCTGACACCATCCTAAATACCATCCTTCTGTTCATCTTCTTCCCGTTCTTTATCGTGTTTCCCTTTCGAATCTTCATCATCTAAAACAAAAAAAAATTAGTAACATTCAAATTTACTAGAAAGTGACGCATACCATTATGCATCAAAGCCGATGGAGCACAACATTTTGTGTTACATCAGAAAACTAACTGACAACCCGATGATCGAATTGAGCTAAGTCTTCGTTTATAAGGGTTTTAAAAGATGCTCTTTCTTGACATTTTTAAATTTTTTCTCAAAATGCATGGAAGTAGGGTTTCTAGAAAACGATGGTTTTTGGAGTACCGGGATCCCAAAATATTTTTTTAAAAAACCGCCGTGGATTTGGAAGCTTTTCAAGATGTCCATCATATTCAGGGCAGAATGGGCTACATTTTCAAAAAAATTCGAGTCTCCAGCACAAAGTTGAAATTATAAATTTTGAAAAATTTTTTTAGACGTCTCTAAAACGTTTTTTAGAGTTTGAATGACTCGGCACAGGTAGGTGCTATAAACTTTTTAAACACATTCGATAGAGAATTGAAAACTGAACAAACGTAGGGATTTCCCAATGTTTGGCAATCGGTTTTCTAGGACACCAACTGAAACCCTTAAAATTTCTTTTGAATCAACCACTTTTATAGAGCACAAAAATCTATCTATGATCCCTAAATTTAAGCTTTTCAAAACTTTTCCAGACAGTAGTGTAGATTTTCCACAAAACTAATGGTTATATCTAACAGCGCTCATAACTTGTATTTTAAAACTTCAGTCATTCTGTGAAATTTTATACTGGAAGGCTTAAATTTGGGGATCATAGAGAAATTTTTGTTCTATAAAATGGCTAATTCAAAAAAATTTTAAGGGGTTTAGGTGGTCTCCTAGAAAACTATCGCCAAAAATTGGCAAAGGCCAATGTTTGTTCAGTTTCCAACTCTCTATCGCATGACGTGTTTAAAAAGTTTATAGCACCTACCTGTATCGAGTCATTCAAACTCTAAAAAATGTTACTTTTAAATTTGTTTCGGTAATTCATTTTTTTCTCAGCCAAATAGTATCAGTAAGCCGAAAAAACTTCAGGAGATATACTTCGAAGTATCCTCTACAAACTGGAAAGCCTTGAAGATAAAATTCAAAATTTGAAAAATCGCTGATTTTTTGCTCAGCGAGGATTTTTTCACCGCACGTTACGCCCCAAGTGAACATTTTCCATGTTAATACAACAGTTGTTCAGAATTCAATTCCGGAGCCCTTAACGAGAGCATTTTCTAAAATTTTCGCTTTTTGTTTTTAAATTTTACGGTTTATTTTAGCCGTAAGGCTTTTGTCAAAATACTTTTAGCTCGAAAATTTCCTCGGAAAAGGGAAAGTTAAATTTCTGCGTCAAACTATATTCGGGAACGATGAAAAGTTTTTCTCCTTATACAAGTTAATGTTCTCTATCGAACTACGATAGAAGCAACTATTTATATCAAAAACTGAAGTTTTTATTGAAATTTTAAAATAGGGCAGAAAATCCGGAAACCGAAAGCTTTGTATAGACATATGCTCGAAGTATTCTCTACAAACTGGTGAAAAAATCCGAGCGGGGGGACCCTCTCTTAAGTCAAAACAAATACAAATCAATAATCTTACCATCTTTTTGGCTTAATTTAGCTTTTAATTCCGCAATTTCACGATCTTTAGCTGCTATAGTTGCGTCTTTAACTGCTATAGCTTGATTTTTTGCTGCTATGACAGAAAGCAGCGCTGCTGTTGATATCGTGTTTTCTTCAATTTCTTTTTGTAGCTAAACAGAGAACCATGCACTTAATACGAAGAATGTAGAGAACGCATAAGAAAAGGTCTTTTCATTCACAAAAGATCAATGTAACATCGCATTACAATTTGCTAGTTGAAGGCATGAGGGGTAAACAACAATCGAATCTATAAATCTTTACTCACCGGCGACTTTTTTACAGCCATTAGCGTCTAAATTACTATTTTTCAGTCCGAATATTTCCGAGACCGGTAACAGAGTTAAAATAAATAAAATGAGTGTATTTATGGTCTCAAGAAGAATTTCTATCTATGGTACTAAATAAATAGAGTCTCTGATTAATGCACAGCCTGGAAAAGAAAACGATATAAATTATAATTGTACACCAGTATTTCTTCTTCCTTTTCCTTCTATAGCTTCGACTGAAACAAATACACGTATATAAAAGTGAGATAATTAGGAAAAGTTTAGTCAAAACGGCTCGTATAAGAAAGCAAAATGTTTGTTTCGTTCAGTGTGAAACCAGAGTGAATTATCAGACTAGACTGCCTTAAAATTAAGTATAATGAATTATAATTTGAGTTGTGACATAGAGAAAGTACATACTAATAATCATAGTTGTG